GGGCCTCACATACTCCCCTACTTAAAATCATTCGTCCCCGAATGAGGACCTATTTCAATCTTTTCAGTATTTCAAAGACCAGTTGGTTTTGAAAACATGTTACGCAGATTCCTGTACTTTTCACTATTTCCCATATTCTTAGAAAAGTTTTGCCAGAGTTTCCTTTGTAATTTGGACATCTCTACCTGACAGAGGGCCCCCGAAACACAAATTCCAAACACCATAATAGAATTACAACCATCCCTACAACTGTCATACAATTTCCTACCTTAACAATTGCACACATTTGATCACTTGATACGTTTTGCTTATGAATCAGTTATTTCAATGAGTTTCACATAATTTAGCCATTTCAACATACTACATGCATACAAATAATTCATTACTAACATATACAACCATTAATTGATTACTTATCACAAGAGTTCTTTGTAAAATTTTCATTTACCAAAGAGATGTTCACATGACTTAAAACAATCACAACACCTATAAGTCTTGCACAACTAGAGGGACTTCACTAGCATTTAGGAACGAACCAATTTGGACACAATAATAGTTGTTTTAGAGATAGAAAGGCCACATAATTTCTTCTAGACTTGATCAAACAGATGGGGATATTTCTCTTTCATTTCCTTCTCCGCTTCCCATGTAGCTTCCTCAACTTGTTGACTTCGCCACAACACCTTAACTGAGGCAACTTCCTTATTTCTCAACTTACGAACTTGTCTATCAAGAATGGCAACCGGAACTTCCTCATACGACAGCTCTTCATTAACCTTGATAGTCTCGACTGGCACGATAGTGGACGGATCTCCAACTACTTTCTTCAACATAGACACATGGAACACCGGGTGCACTAATGACATTTCAGGAGGCAATTCCAACCTATAGGCCACCTGCCCTACCCTTTGAACGATCCGGTACGGCCCGACGTACCTAGGATTCAACTTACCTTTCTTCCCGAATCGCATGACTCCCTTCATAGGAGATACCCTCAAGAACACCAAATCATCAACTTGAAATTCCAATTCTCTTCGACGAACTTCCGCATAGGATTTCTGGCGACTCAGAGCAGTTTCATCCTTTCCTGAATGACTTTAACTTTCTCCATAGCCTGGTGCACAAGATCCGGTCCTATTAATTCTGCTTCACCCACTTCAAACCATCTGATCGGAGACCTGCACCTCCTTCCGTACAATGCCTCAAATGGGGCCATTTGAATGCTAGCATGAAAGCTGTTATTGTAAGCAAATGAACCTGAGTACCCAAACCTTGCTAAAATTTCTTCCAAAAATTAGCTGTGAACTGGGCCCCTCGATCCGAGATAATAGAAAGTGGAGTGCCATGAAGCCTTACTATCTCCTTGATATACAACTTAGCATATTGTTCTGCAGTATCGGTGGACATGACTGGCAAGAAGTGAGCTGATTTGGTGAGTCGATCCACTATTACCCAAATTGAGTCGAACTTGCGCTGAGTGCGAGGTAATCCTACCATGAAATCCATGTTGATCATCTCCCATTTCCATATTGGTATTTCCATAAGCTGAGTTAACCCACAGGGCCGCTGATGCTCAGCCTTCACTTGCTGACAATTCGGACATTTAGATACAAAGTCCGCCACACCCCTCTTCATACCGTTCCACCAATAGATCTTCCTTGAGGTCATGATACATTTTCGTAGAACCTGGATGCACGGAATACCTGGAATTATGTGCCTCCGCCATTACCCTCTCCCGAAGCTAATCCACATCCGGAACACACAGCCTACCTTGACACCGCAATACACCATCCTCGCTGCCGAGTGAAAATGCCGAAGTCTTGTTACTCAAAACTGCTTCCTTCATTTGAGCCAATGCTGGATCGATAAACTGCTTTTCCTTGACTTCCGCTACGAGTGACGATTCTGCTCCATTATGTACCATAACATTCCCCTCGTCTGATGTCGAAATACAAACCCCTAGACTGGCCAATTGATAAACCTCCGGAGCCAAGGGCCTTTGATCCACTCCCAAATGAGCCAAACTACCCATAGATTTCCGACTGAGAGCGTCGGCCACCACGTTCGCCTTCCCTGGATGGTACAAAATGTTCATATCATAATCCTTGAGTAATTCTAACCACCGTCGCTGCCTTAATTTCAATTCCTTCTGCTTGAACAAATACTGGAGACTCTTGTGGTCTGAGAACACATCCACATAGACCCCATAAAGATAATGCCGCCATATTTTCAAAGCAAACACAACTGCCGCAAGCTCAAAATCATGTGTCGGATAATTTTTCTCGTGATTCTTGAGCTGCCTCGAAGCATACGCTATAACTTTCCCATGTTGCATCAACACAAACCCCAAACCAACCCTGGAGGCATCGCAATAAACCACAAATCCTTCCGTGCCTTCTGGCAAGGTAAATATTGGTGCCGAGGTTAACCTTGACTTCAGTTCCTGAAAACTTTTCTCACAAGCGTCGGACCATTGAAACTCAACTGCTTTCTGCGTCAACTTAGTCAATGGGGAGGCGAGGGCAGAGAATCCCTCCACAAACCTCCGATAATACCCTGCTAAACCCAAGAAGCTACGAATCTCCGTCGGCGTCGTGGGTCTAGGCCAATCTTTTACTGCTGCAATCTTCTGGGGTCTACCTGAATCCCTTCACTAGAAACAACATGACCCAAAAAGGCAACGGACTCCAACAAAAACTCACATTTTTAAAATTTAGCATACAACTGGTGCTGATGAACAGTCTGCAGAACTGCCCTGAGGTGACCGGCATGATCCTCTCGGCTCCGCGAATAAACAAGGATGTCGTCAATAAAAACAATCACGAAGGAGTCTACAAATGGCTTGAAGACACGATTTATAAGATCCATAAAAGGCTGCCGGGGCGTTGGTTAGCCCAAAAGACATGACCAAGAATTCAAAGTTACTATAGCGAGTTCTGAAAGAGGTCTTGGGAATATCCTGCTCCCTAATCTTCAATTGGTGATACCCGGACCGTAGATCAATTTTGGAGAAGAACCTTGCACCTTGCAATTGGTCGAACAAATCATCTATTCGAGGCAGAGGATATTTATTCTTGATGGTGACTTTGTTGAGTTGCCGATAATCAATACACATCCGGAGCGACCCATCCTTCTTCCTGACAAAGAGAACCGGAGCACCCCACGGCGACACACTCGGCCGTATGAACCCCTTTTCTAATAAATCCTTCAGCTGCTCCTTTAACTCCCTTAACTCCGCTGGAGCCATTCTGTATGGTGGAATAGATATTGGCTGCGTATATGGCAATACATCAATCCCGATATCAATCTCCCTATCTGGCGGAATCCCTAGAAGCTCGTCCGGAAACACTTCGAGAAACTCATTCACGACTGGCACGGACTCGGGGGTAGACACTCCTGAAGTGGTGTCCGCCACCCTGACCAAATGATAGATACATCCCTTCTTAATCATCTTTGAAGCCTTAAGGTAGGAAATAAACCTACCCTTCGGCACCACATCATTCCCTTTCCACTCGATAACCGGCTCATTAGGGAACTCGAGTCTCATGACTCTCGTTCGGCAGTCAAGTTTAGCAAAGCACGTATAAAGCCAGTCCATCCCCATAATCACATCAAAATCCACCATTCCAAGCTCGATAAGATCGGCCGTGGTAACGCGACCACATACCGTGACAACACAATTCCTATAAACTCGCGCGGCTGTAATAGAATCACCAACCGGAGTCGATACAGAGAACGGCTCATGAAGCTGTTCGGGTTCTATCCAAAAGCTTGAAGCAATGAATGGGGTGACATAAGACAAAGAGGACCCCGTATCAATAAGAGCATAACAATCAAGGGCCTGAACAGACAAGATACCTGTAACCACATCTGGAGAAGCCTCTGCATTCTGACGACCACTCAAAGCGTAGAACCGGCTGGGTCCACCTCTACCACGAGCTCCACCCCTAACTGTACCACGTCCTGCTGGGGCTGGAGGATGCCCAGATGATGTGGCGACTGAAGAACCGGACGACTGAGCAGATCCCCTACCCATGCCCTGACTGGGCACACGACAGTCTCGCTGAATATGACCTCTCACCCCGCATCTGAAACACACCGGGATATCCAAGTAGCAAGCCTCTGTATGAAATCTCCCACACTTGGGGCATGGAGCCCTCCCCTGCTGCTGTGATCTCCCTCCTGAACGACCGGACTGATGGGGTCTCCTACCGTCTGAACCTGGTCTCATGCGGCTGTTCTGCTGATAACTGTGCAGAGATGATGGTGCGCTCGCTGAGGACTGAGCATATGACTGGGACGGCCCTGATGACCCTCTTCCTTGAGTTGATCTCCCTGAGTGACCTGTTGATCGGGCCCTGTTGCTATTCTCCCTTTCCGCCCGAATCTTGAACTTCCTAGCCTCTGTGGCCTGAGCGAATCCCACAATCTTTCCATAGTTCATATCCGAGTGTAAGGCCGCTGTAGCAGCCTCATTTACTACCAAGGGACTAAGGCCCTGAACAAATCGCCGAACTCTAGCTGCCATGGTCGACACTAACTGAGGAGCATACTTGGACAATCTCACGAACTCCATGTGGTATTCCCAAACACTCATACTGCCCTGCTTGAGGGTCTCAAACTCCGTGGCATGGGCTGCTATTGTCTCAGCAGGCAAGAACTGGTCCATGAACGCATCTACAAACTCATCCCATCCGGCCGGAGGTCCTCCCTCCCCACGGGAGTCCTCCCACATCTCGAACCATGAATACGTTGCTCCCCTCAACCTGTATGATGCCAATTCAACTCCCTCTGTCTCTGAAGCTTTCATCACTCGGAGGGTCTTATACATTTCATCAAGAAATTCCTGCGGATCGGCCTCTGGGTCTGTGCCTGAGAACTCTGGAGGGGCTAACCGCAAAAGCTGGTTAACTCTGGAGCTGGTAGAATCTCCCTGTCCGCTAGAGGATGTAGGGGCATCCTGAGATCTCTGGGCCTGAGCGGCCACTAACTGGGTCAACATGCGGATGGCTCCCCTAAGGTCCACATCAGAAACCTCGGGACCAGGAGCTGGAATGGTGCCAGGTTCAGGAATATCGGCGGGAGGGATGGTGGCACCCTCTGCCGTTGCAGGATCAGGAACATGCTGGTCTGGGACAGACGGGCCAGGTAGGTTCAAGGCCGAGGAGTCACTCTCACCCACGACATCAGGTATATGATTCGTAGCCTCCCTCGGGGTGGCATTGGCCCCAAGGCCGAGTCTAGCTCTCTTCTTAGGTGCCATTACTGAAAAATTCGGAACAAAGCACGAGTTAGACATGGATGCTTTCACATTTCACTTGACCGCACGATACAGAATAACAAGGAAGTGGGAAATTTCCTAAATGTCCATGCAGCCCCCCACTTATAGATGTGGTCGACTTCACACCGATAAGTAAGGCTCTACTAGACACGGCTCCGTGACATCCTAGGACTCCTTAAAACCGTAGGCTCTGATACCAAGTTTGTCACGCCCCAAATTCGAGGGACATGACCGGTGCCCGATCGAGTAGCCCCAGCCAAGCGAACCTGGATGCCTTTCCTAACCCACATGTCACCCCATGTTTTCCTTACTCAATTATTCCAAGAATTTGCCAAATAATTAATTAAAAAAACATTTTAATTTATAAAGCACATACATACTTGCATAATAGAAGTGAAATTACCAACTCGATACCAATGTATGAAAACACGGTATACACAAGTTTCTAACCCACATCTACTGTCTACGGAGCCTCTAATAGTACAACAGGATAATATAGTATTTGCGGGTAACAAGGCTCCGGCTATACCTTACACAAAAATCAAAATAAAACTCCGGAAACAAGCGGCCTGAGCCACGCAGGGCCCCGAGAGGAAAGGGGCTCACCAAAAAGCTGATGGAGGACGAAGGGGAGCTACGATCGATGGACTGGAGTACCTGCTACGGATCCACCTACAATCATAACACGAATGTAGCGCCCCCGGCAAAAGGGACGTCAGTACATTTGAATTGTACTGGTATGTATGAACAAAATTTGCTCCAAGTAAACTCAAACCATAAGCAAGTAAGTAGCAGTAATAAAAGCGACAATCAAATCCACAAGGAGGGAACAATTAAGCCAACAGGTATACAATCTTTCCTCCATAAACAGGCACACTTCCACATCAATAATTTCACAATTTATAAGCAAGTATGTAATCGTAATAGAAATAACAATCAAATACACAAAGAAGGAAGAAAGAGCAATCAAACCAACAAGTTTACAATCTCTCCTGTTTCCCCTTCCACATTTCCACATCAATAATTTCACAATTTGTTCATAATTTCATTTCAATAGTGATTTCGATCACTTTCCTCCCTTATTACCTCGGCCATCGTTATTACCTCGGCCACCCTTATTACCTCGGCCACCCTTATCACCACAACCCACACCTTATTACTTCGTGTTGCGGCGCGCAACCCGATTCCACCAAGCAATCACAATTCACAAACAATACCACAGCAATGACAATTTACAAGGAGAACAACAACAAGTTTCAGGAACAACAACAACAAATCCCAATAACAACGACAACACATCTCAAGGAACAACAACACAACTCACACAAGGTATATATGACTATCAATGCCATTTCCATCCTTTTCAACAGCCCGTTGTACCATTTAAATCACAACAATAATTTTCCACAACTAGCCACAAAGGATGTTACCACAGTTATCTCAATTTCACCAATCCCGATTCCTTTCCATCATTTATTCCACAGTTCTTACCACATAACACATTCACAATAACAACTTGGTTTATTGCCATTTACTTGCACAATCATATCGGACGTCTTAACCAACAACGTTTACATGAATTCACAAATGGTTCACACAAGTAAACACATATTACTAGCAAGAGTTTAACTTCACAAATAACCCACGTAGACAACACGTACCAAATATTGAACACCAAGCAAGGTGATTTTACAAAGATCAAAGTTAGCCATACATACCTGGAGCCGAATTCCCTTTTAACTTCTATTTCCAATTCACCAAATAATCTAGCAACGTCAATCTAGTGCACAATTTAATACACATAACTTAGAATTGGGGTTCACAAATGCTTCTCAAACTTATCTAGGTTATCAGCCCCTTCTTTGTACAAGTCTTTGCTCCCACCCAACTACTCCTACTAGATTCTAGGCTATAGAAAGGCATGCATGTATGAGTTCAACCATTATTTTCAAGAACCAATGCATGAGACCCCCCCTTAGTTTAAACCTGAAGTTCAATGAAAAGGGTTAGGGATTTTACCTGCAAGGAAAGGGGGATGAAGATAAGCTTGAAATTTCCCGGCCCGGATAGTTTTGAAGAATCAAATTTTGGAGAAGATGACTTTCTCTCTCAAGACCCTCTCTTCCTCTCTCTTATTTTGTGCAGAAGATCGTTAAAGAATGAGGGGGATGGGTGTTTTATTTCAAAGGGGTCGGGTTTTAATGTTTAGAAAAATAGAAGCCCGAGCAAGATTTGCGGTCGCATTCTGCGATCGCAGAACCGAAATGCGGTCCGCAGATTGGACCGCAGAAGTGCCCCCAAAACTCTGAGGAGTCTGTTCGCATTGTGCACCGCAGAACTTACCTTCACATATCCTTGAGGAACTTATGCGACGATTATGCGGTCCGCATATTGGTTATGCGATCGCATAATAGACCATATTTTCAACATTTATTTTGACAACTCTTCAGTTTCACTCTGCGGTAGGAATGCGGTCTGCATACTAGATCTGCGACCGCATTCTGGGCCATAGAATGGCATTTTCTGGAAAAATTGATTCTTTTGATTTTTACAAGCTTAGATCAATACGAAGGGTCCGACTCTTATTTTGGGCCATGGCATATATGGCGTAAGATCTTGAGGCCATGGGCCTCAAACATAACAAAGACTAAAAAATGGCAGGAAAGGAGAGAAGGATGGATATCGAAGGAAGTTTGAATAAAAGTTGATCGCGAGAATCCCCATATATAGGGGGGTACAAAGTAACCGACGGCGCCATTACTGCCCTCGAAAAGCGTAACAACAAGCGCAATTAATGCTTTCATGGAAGCTGAACCGATAAACGACAATATGACCCCAAGGAGCAAGGAGTCATGATATTTTTGAATAACCCTGGAAGAGCGAAAAGGTGAAATGCCTCGTCATTTGTGTCCGGGGCTACACCAACAGCATGATGTCATTTCAAGAACCCGCAGAACGGGGTGTCAAAAACATTTCTTATCGCTACCCTCTAAGAAACGCGGAGACTATCTATACGCGGTGAAATCAGAGGGCCCGATTTCTTGCCATCAACCATCTCGGGGAGGTACCTCGAGACCCCGAGGACACGGAGCCCGATTTGAGGCCGAGATAAAGACAAAGGGGGGAAGCCCCTAAGACACGCGATTGAGTCTGACAGGCCGGCCTATCCATAGCTTATGCTGGGGCGTCGAGTCAAGCCATCACATCTTCATATATCATAAATTAAATATACATGTATTCGTAACCGAGTTTCCTCTCCTATATAAAGGAGACTCACCCTACCTTGTAAGGAACTGATGTTGCTCCCTCAATTCTACGAAGTGCAATAATCTCTCTCTCTCTCTCTCTCTCTCTCTCTCTCTCTCTCTCTCTCTCTTTCTCTCTCTCTCTCTCTCTCTTCTTACTAGAACTTATTGGATCTCACTGATACTGAGGATATCTCGATATCCTTTGCCTCTATATGTGTTCTTCATTTTATATGTGTTCTTCATCATACAAGCTCAATTCGGTTATAAATAGCTTCGTTTGATTATATCTCTAGCTGTTATACTACTCCCGAGTGTCCCCGACAACCCGAGGTCGACCTCGAAGTCCCAATCGACCAAGCTTATGCCCGGGTAGCAGGCTCTTTGGTTTGGTTGTTACCTTGTTTATCTCCCGCCCCATCGTTAAAATTCATAATACTAGCATCCTCTTCTCTAACAACTAGCTTGGGAATAGATCACGTATTTTTAGAATCCAATTTCATAAATTTAATTGTCGTTACCATTTTCACGGTAAACAAACCTAATCCCACCTGTACTCCCTTATTACTCCTTGTTGCAGCGTGCAACTCGATCCCACCAGAGAATCACTTTCCTCCCTTATTCCTCCTATTGCAGCGTGCAACCTGATCCCAACATATGTATACATCAACACCAATCACAAAGAGTAAATACAAAGTGTTTCACAGGTTAACTTAATTTCCACATTTCTATACTTCAACTCACACAAAGGGATATCACTACGATTACAACACTTCACCCATGAAGGCTAATCAGCAAGACCAACCAAGGTGCACCTTAAGGCACCAATAACTCAACATAATCCAACAGTATAATAAAGCGGAACCATGAAACAATTAGATACTTCAGAAAAGAGGGCAATAGTTAATATGTAACAATTAGGCATCGAGACATTTATTGGCAAAAAATAATTAAAGCATGGAAACAGTTTAAGTAGGTAACAATTAAGACAAGAAATGGCATAATAGGAAACGAGGAAGGGAACGAACTAAAAATGGAAATTTAGTGGCGCATAGGTGCTCGTCACCTCACCTATACGCCACACACATGAGATTTCACATAGCACATAAGTCGGGGATTCCTATTCCCTCAAGTCAATGATAAACAAAACACTTACCTCAAGCCAACGGGTAATTCAACACTCAACCACCGCTTTACCTCTCGATTCCACCACCAATTCACTCGTATCTAGCCATAATTAATTCAATAACATCAATAAATGCTAAATAAACTAATTCTAATGCATGAAAATAGATTTCCCAATGTTTTCCCCAGAAAGTCAAAAATCGACCCCGGGCCTGCTTGGTCAAAAACCAAATTTCGAACCAGAACCCGATCACCCAAACACCCACGAACTCAAATATAAATTTTTTTTTTTGAAATCTGACCTCAATTTGAGGTCCAAATCCCTAAAATTCGAAAATCCTAACTTCTACCCAAAACACCAAATGTCCTATGAAAAACCCTAGATTTTTAAGTGAAATTATGTAAAACGATGAATTAGATTGAAGAGGATGAGTTAGAAATCACTTACTTATGATTTGGAGAAGTTTTAGCCTTTGAAAATTCGCCTAAAGATGATT